GTAATACCCAATGGAAGGAAGTTAGGTCACTGACGTGGTGCCCTTGGAGAGGACACTGGGACCCAAGCCCCTTCCTTTCTCTTTCTCCTTATATCCAGTCACCACATGCTCTCTTGCACGATATCTTGTCTCCCCACAGGCTCCAAAACAATGTGGGCAACAGTACAGGAACTGCAACCTCAGAAACAAAGAGCCAAAATAATCTTTCCTCCTTTTGTTTTATCTCAGATATCTTGTCACAAGCAATAAAAACTAACACAAACCGTCCTCTTAACTATGGCTCAAATTAAGTTAATCTGTCTTCTTCCTCTGGTTTAAGATCCCTTTCTGTCTTTGGTGCTTTGATGTTTTATTCTGTTTTGACTAGCTTTAATTTTTTTATTTATTCATTCTCCTTATGATTCATCATTCGTTTTCTTGAATCTGAAGACTTGTTGTTTTCACCAATTGTAGAAAATCTTTAGCTTTTATCTTCTCAAATAATAAATCTGACTGTTCTCTCTTCTCCTTTTAGAACACCAAAAAAATTTACATTAGATATTCTCCCTCCATGCTCCATGCCATGGAACCTCTATTCTGTATTTTTAAATTTTTTTTAGTTGTAGATGGACATAATACCTTTATTTTATTGATTTATTTTTTTGCAGTGCTGAGGATGGAACCCAGTGCCCCACACGTGCTAAGCGAGAGCTCCACCACTGAGCCACACCGCCAACCCCTCTCCTGTGTTTTTTGCTATGTTCTCTGCTTCATTCAGTGTGATTCCTGTGACCGGTTTTCTGGTTCACTGTTCTTCTCTTTGCTGCGTGTAATTTGTTGTTAACCCTACACATTTAATTCTTTTTGACATGGGCTTTTGCTACATTGCTCAGGCTGGCTTCAAACTCCTGGGCTGAAACAACCCTCTGCTATAGTCTGCCACCGCCACGCCCAGCTCTTCTGATACCTGAAGCCCAGAGGGGCTGTTTCTGCTGGTTCTAACCGATGGTGCCTTTTTTCCTGGTGTGCCTTGTCATTTTTGTCTGTGTACTACTAATCAATGTCCTGAAAAAAATTATCAGGGATTAAGTGCCAACCTGATTTTGAGGGACACACACTTAACCACAGCTGGGTTAATGAATCTTAGGATGAAGATAACTTTCTCCATCTCCTGCAGGATGCCTGAAGGCATTATCAAGCCAAAACACCATAAATTCAAGCTTGATTTTCCTGAACCACCACAAAGTATAAATCCAGGCTCAAAATCCTAATAAAAGCTAATCCATAACAGACAGATTTACCCCTTTTCTTTTTTCCTTCTAAGTGCAGGAAAAGATAGCCAACTGGGAACAGGGACTGGAGTGAGGGCACAGGCCTCAGTGTATGCTAACCCCAAGGATATGGCCCTCCAGAGTTCCAGCGAGTGTAGGGAGGTCTGCTGGAGGCTTTCCACCTTGAGAGGCCACAGAGCCTAACTACTCTTCTTGCCCTATAAATCCTCTAAAAATCAAAAGCTCCACTTTGTCCAGATGAGCAGATGCCCTCAGAGCACCGGCAGATTCTATCCTATGGAGCTGTCTACCAGCTCTTACATTCTGGTAGACGTTTTGAATAATCTTTATTATATTAAATAATATTTCTCAGCTCCTACATTTTGATTTAGAAGTTCCTTTAATATGTTCAGTTCTTAGATTGTTTTTTGTTGTTGTTGTTATTGTTGTAGGTGGACACAATGCCTTTATTTTTATTTATTTATTTTTATGGGGTGTTCAGGATCGAACCCAGTGCCTCACCGGCACTAGGCAAGCACTCTATCACTGAGCCACAACCTCAGCCTTTTTAGATTTTTTTTTTAATATTTATTTTTCAGTTTTTGGTGGACACAACATCTTTATTTTGTTTTTATGTGGTGCTGAGGATCGAACCCAGCGCTCAGCGCATGCCAGGCAAGCGCGTTACTGCATGAGCCACATCCCCAGCCCATTAGATTATTTTTTAATCCAACCATTTAAATTGTTTTCCATAGGCTGGGGGAAAAAACTATATTCTCTCATCAATTTCAGGAATTATACTACTCTCTAGTAGCTTCTATTCATACTGGTATTTGTTGTCAGCTTAGTTGGTATTCCCTTTTTTTTATTTTTTATTAGTTATTGATGGACCCTTATTTATTTGTTTGTTTATATATGGTGCTAATAACTGAACCCAGTGCCTCACACATGCTAGGCAAGTACTCTACCAATCCCAGCCCCCGGAAGGATTTTTTTTAAATATTTATTTAGTTGTAGATGAACACAGTATCTTTATGTATTTTTTTTTTTTTTATGCAGTCGTGAGGATTGAACCCAGTGCCTCCTACATGCGAGGCAAGCACTCTTACCACTGTGCTACAGCCTCAGCCCCTGGTATTCCCTTTTAGATAATCTAACTTTTACCTCTAGCTTAATATCTTCTTTTTATCTTTGGTGTTATATAATTTCAATGTATGGGTATGAAGTTTTGGGTTTTTTAAAATTTTTTTATTTTTTTAAATTACTTGGGACATATCATGCTTCATAAATCTATGGATTTGTGTCTTTTATTAGTTGTTTTTAAAGTTTGAAGTTATTAACACTTAAATAATGCCTCTCTCTCTTTTTTTTTCTTTTTTTTTTTTGGTGGTGCTATGGATTAATCCCAGGGCCATGGTCATGGCCATATGCATGTGAGGCAAACATTCTATCAACTGAGCTATATCCCCAGCCCCTTCCCATATGTTTTTAATCTGGAATTCCAACTTCATTTTACATCATCTTTCTTTCTTTTTCTTTTTGTACTGGGATTGAACCCAGGGGTACTTAACTACTGAGCTACATTACCAGCCATTTTTATTTTTTATTTTGAGACACGGTCTAAGTTCCTCAGGGCCTTGCCAAGGTACTGAGACTGGCCTTGAACTCACAATCCTCCTACCTCAGCCTCCTGAGTCGCTGGGATTTACAGGTGTGTGCCAGTTACATCTTTTTATTCTAATGTCTATTTCCTCTCAATGTCACTGTTCACCTCCCATCTCTCAGTGCTGCACTCTGGATAATTTTTTCAGTTTATGTTCTTTTTACTAATTCAATCTTCATCTGTGTTTAATCTGTTTAGTTTACATTTTGTCTTTCATTTCTACTTTTCTATAAGTTCTGATTGGGTCATTTTAACACTTCACTTTTGTTACTGATTTTTATTCTAGTTTGCATTTACTCAAACATTTCAAACATAGTTATTATTTATACTGCATTTGATCATTCAATGTCTGTAGGCCATGGGACATCTAATTATGTTCTCTTCCTCATAATGAAGTGAGAGAGAGACAGAATGTGTGCATGTGAGTGTGTGTTCTGACTGTAAGCTCAAGTGTACTTAATTTTAATCTGTAGAAATTCTAAGGATCTAGGGCTGGGGTTGTGGCTCAGTGGTGCAGTGCTTGCCTAGCATGTGTGAGGCACTGGGTTCAAGTCTCAGCACCACATATAAATAAATAAAGTCCATTGACAATTAAAATAATTTTTTTTTTAAATTCTAAGGATCTACACCAAGCAACTTAGAGAGATCCTATCTCTAAATAAAATTTAAAAAGGGCTGGGGATGTGGCTCAGTGATTGAGCGTCAATGGTACAAAAAAGCAGATCTTGTTTGGATCCAATTAGAACGGTCATCTGGAAAAAAATTATTTGTTATTAGGAAAATAAGAATATAGACAGATACTCGAAGAAATTAAGGAATTATTATGTTCTCTAATTTGCAATAATAACATGGTAGTTTTATTTTCAAAGATAAAAATTGTCCTTATCTGCTAGGGAGAAGTATTCACGATAAAACAACATTATTTCTGGGATTTGTTTTTAAAATACTTCACCAGAAAACACGAACTAAAAATATATGAAAGAAGGAAGACAGAAAGAAAGAAAAAGATATCACTGTTAAAACTGGAGGAAGAATACATAGATACATAAAAATACAGAAACATAATTAGTATTTTTAAAGTTCCTATAAAAACCAAACAAAAGAAATACTTAATGTTGTGCCAATAACTCAGATATATTAGTATTACCATCTTCTGAAACAGGTAATTGTTTTTATACCTGACATTTCCTAATTGAAATTACTAACTAAATAACTCAGAATTAACTTTTCAGCACTGTATACAGTTTTTGTTTTGTGTTTTTGGTGGTGCTGGGGATTGAACCCAGGTCCTTGTGAATGTAAGCCAATCATGCTACCAACTGAGCTATACAGTTTTTAAAATAAGGAAATGTTTCTATAATGTTGACTTTAGGCCTGTTTATTCTGATTTTGAACCAATGGTTTAAATATCAAATATATCAAATATACACACACACATACACACACACACACACACATATAAAATGTTTGGATCCTTTTTATGTCCTCAACTTCTAGGAACATAACATCTTGACAAATTCTGTTTAAGATACATCTTGACAAATTCTGTTCAATGTAAGTTGAAGGAAGAATGGTACCCATGTCCCTGAATAGCATAGTTTGAGAAATGAGTGACCCTGGAAAAGAGCAAGGCTCCTCCTTAGCTGGCAGCTGCCCTGGTAGCCTGGCCTTCTGCAGCCTCCCACTGCAGCCTCCTCCCCACCCAGAATGTCCTCACCAGGAGCTCTTCCATCCCTTTCTTCTGGTCATGACCTCCAAATCTCGTTCTGCAGCCCTGGATTATTCTAGGGAGCTTTTCTCCCAAGCCTTATCCCTCTCTCCTTCCCTCAACATGACTATTTCTTTGATGCCCACTCAGGACAGAGTCACCTCTGCTCTCTCACCCAGGCATCCCATCCAGAAAGGGGGTCAGCACTTTCCTAAGTCCCAAGAATATTTCCTTTTCTTTTTCTTATTTGTTTTTCTTATTTGTTTGCAGTGCTAAGAGGGGAACCTGGGACCCTGTGCCTGATAGGCAAGGGCTCTACCACTGAGCTATACTCTCAGCTCCCCATCACCACCAGTGGATATTTCCAGACACCTTGTACCTTCATTCAAAACCTCTGGTTTTGATACATTTGCTTCTGGCCAAGATGGAATAACAGGAAACAGATTTATCTTCCCATCTGCAACAACTGAAAAACAGAAAAAGGATACAGTGCATGAAGAAATGGTCCTTAAGACATTGGACATCAGACAATGAAGGATAGTGATCCCTCTAAAAAGGTGAACAATTAAGAGAAGCCCTGTCATTGCCCGGCTCTCTGGTGGAAAAAGAGGCTCAGCCACGACAGGAGAAGAACAGATGAAGCCCAAGGTGATAGAGCACAGGAGGGGCAGAGCTGCAGAGAAGCTGGCACTCTGGAGACCCTCAAAACTTTCACTGAGAACTGAGCAGTGCACATGGTGAAGAGGGTTCCCAGCCAGGGAAGCATCACCCAAGAACTCGTAGGGAGCCATCCTCAAAGCCCATACAGGCCAAGGATGGTTCCTCTTCCTGCCAGTCTCCTAACACACAGGACACTGGACATAGTTCTCAGAAGACCTTTGCCTTGGTGGTAGGGTAAAACTGACCCTAGATAAAACATTGCTTTTGCTCCACTGAACAAAGTTTAAAAGTAAGACCTACCAGAATGAAACCATTTCAAGTAATTTAGCTTCATCTCAAAACAAAGGTCAAGAACATTTATAAGAATACAAAAATGCCCAACACCCAAGATAAAATTTATAATGTCTGGGTATCCAATCAAAATTTACCAGTACACAGGAGCAGGAAAACACAAAGCACAGTGAGGAGAAAGTCAAACAAAATCAACTCAGCACTGACACAGATGAATGAATAGACACGAATTTCAACAGCTGTCACAATGGCTAGTCCCTCCTCAGAGCTCTCTTGAAATTCTGCTCATGTTTCTTTTAGAAAATTACCACACTGCAATAATCTCGTTTTTATATTTTTATTTTAGTTGTGAAAGCTTAAAGAATTTAAAGTTACTGAGAAAAGCACAAGTACCCATGTATCAAAACAAAACAAAACAAAAACAAAATCCATGTACTGAGGTTTAATATTAACATTTGGTGATATGTGTCCTACTTAAAAATGAAACATTTCTAATATTGAGGAACTCAGCAATTCATTTGACCTTCTTCTTCCTCAGAGATAATTACTATCTGTAGCCTCCATAACTTAATTTTTTTACTAAAGCTCAACTTCATTTATATTTTATTTTTTCATTTTGCAGAGCTGGGGATGAAATATAATGAGACCACATTTCAAAAAATACAGTTCTGAAATTTGGGTATCTTATATTTCAGGTTTTCATACTTGGGATGCTCAATCTATATACTCAATTAATCTCCAAGTGCTTTACAAAATCAATCTATGGGGCTAGGGTTGTGGCTCAGTGGTAGAACACTTGCCTCATACAAGTGAGGCCCTGGGTTCAATCCTCAGCACTGCATAAATAAACAAATAAATAAGTGTGTCCATCTACAACTAAAAAAAAATAAGACCCACAATTAACCTATGCTCCCATCTGTTTGTAGTGTTCACCTTCTATAGCCTGCCTACCCTTGGTGTTGTCAGAATTTTTTATTCTTGTTCTTTGATAAGTGTGAAGTGGAATTCTTGTCTTAATGTGCATTTGTGTTATCACTGAGGCTGAGTATTTTCCAAGATTTTATTGGTCATTTTGGCTTCTCCTGTGAATTATTCCTCATATCTTTGCCTATTTTGCTACTGGGCAAACTCTTCCTGCCTAAGAGTCCTTTATGTAGCCTAGTTATCAGTTCTCTGTGGATTATACACATGGTAATTTTCTTCTCCCACGCTGTGGCTCAGGGTTTTTTGTTTTTGTGTGTGTGTGGTGGAGATGAATCCAATGCTTTGGGCATGCTAAGCATGTACTCTACCACTGGCCCATACCTCCAGCCCACTAGTGGTGTTTTTTTTGGGGGGGGTGGATTGAACCCAGGGCCCGCTGTTACACTCCAGCTATGGCTTGTCTTTTAATCCACTTTTGATGTAGAGAATTGTTTATCGTAGTAAATTATCATTTGTTTTTCCTTTATAGTTTGCCATATTTTTACAAAATTCTTCCTCCTATTTTGAGATGACAAAGATATTCTGTACTTCTATCTAAAATTTAATTTTCATATTTACATCTTTTTCCCCTTTTTTATAGAGCTTTAATTTTACACATAGTAGTTGGGTTCATCCCACAAACATACACATGCATGGAAATCCATTTCAGTTTATAATCCCCTTTTCCCTCCCCTCTCCCCTTCTCCTTCCGCTACTTGACTAAACTTCTTTTTGCTGGGCTATGAATTTGTATTTGATTGGTTCTTTCCGTCATTCTATCCTCCCTCCCCTTTTCCTTTATTTTACTCTTGCTTCCACATGAGGGAAAACATTGGGCTGGTTCTGAGTTTGGCTTACTTCACTTAGCATGACATTCTCCGTTTCCATCATATTTCCATCTTAAATTCAGTGAATGAGATAAAGATCTGACTTTGTCGCCCAAATGAAGGTGAAAGCCCAGTCCATTTTGCTCCTCACTGATACGCACTACACGTCTGTCACAGATGGCGTTCCCACTTACACAGGGTCCTGTTCCTAGCTGCCTCCTCAGCTGACCTCACAGCAGGCTCTGAGCGTCTGTTACGGCAGCCCTCCCATTCTGTTTTCCTTTCCACATTATCCTGGTTAGTCGTCATACCTCACTTTTATAAGTGAATTTTAGGTTCAGCCCCACAAATTCCATGGAAGAACCTGTGAGGAACATGATTAGAACTGTGGTGAATTGAGAGATTCAACGTGCGGAACTAGCAGAAACAGCAGTGTCACCGCAGTAGACTTCTGCCTTCGCTCAAGTGTTACTTTGTCTTTTGTAACCTTTTCCATAAAGCTCTTGCACTTGGCTTTGTTCCACAGGCTCCTGTTACAAACTGGCTCTCCCCTCAACCCCTCCTGACAGTCCTGGGGACTGAACCCAGGGGCCCTTTACCACTGAACTACATCCTCAGACCTTTTTATTTTTATTTTGAGACACAGTTTCGCTAAACTGCCCAGGCTGGCCTTGAATTTGTGATCCACCTGCCAGCTTCCAGGGTGGCTGGGAGTAGCTGAGATTATAGGCATGTGTCACTGTGCCCAGCACAAACTTGATCTTTTTAAAATCACATTTTTGTGATTGAGCAACTTTGCTAAACTCTCTCATTAGTGTAAAGCCTTCCAGGTTTTCTAGGTAGCAATCTGGGGCAATAAGACAGCTTTGTATAAATCTGGCTTCTTTTTCTTTTAAATTATCTAGCCAACCTCTACTGTAAAACTGAACAGAAGCAGTAAGAGTAGATACTCTTATTTTTAAAGGAAATGCATCTCAGCACCACTAAGAGCTGGAGATACAGCTCAGTGTTAGGGTACCTGCCTGGTGTGCACAAGGCCCAGGATTCAATCTCCAGTTCCTGGGGGAAAACTGTTTTTCACCACTAAACTCTATAATCATGATATTAAGGAAACTATCTGTAACTACTAGTTTTAGAAGAGTTTTATACTGAGTACTGAAATCTTTTTTCTCTTTAGATACACATGACAGTACAGTGTATTTTGACATATCTGAGTGTTGAAATTCACTGAGTCACTTTTCTTTATTTAATTGTAGTGAATAAAATCAACAGATGTGCCAATACTAAGCAATCCTTGCTTTCCTTAAAGACATCCACTTGGTCAGGATGTAATTAGTCAGTTGGTTGTTTTTTCCTGTATTTATGTTGTAGGTTTACTTATCTTCCTCAGAATTTATTTGGTCCTTGAGTTTCATCTTTATAAATTCTCAACCATTAATCATTTTGTATACTATATCTCCCATATTTTTTCTTCCCGCCCTGTTGCTTCCAGGAACACCAATATATATCTTAGGTCTTTTTTTTTTTTTTTGGAGGGGGGGGTTACTGGGGATGAGCCCAGGTATACTGCACCACCGAGGCACATCCCAGCCCTTTTAATTTTTTTTTAAACATTTCCAATGTGTATTTTATTTTATTTTAGATGTTGATGGATCTTTATTTTATTCACTTATTTATATGTGGTGCTGAGAATCAAACCCAGTGCCTCATACATGCTAGGCAAGTTCTCTACCACTTGGCCACAACCCCAGCCCTCCTTTTAATTTTTTATTTTGAGACAAAGTCTTGCTAAATTGCTGAGGCTGGCCTTGAACTTGTGATCCTCTTGTCTTAGCCTTCTGACATGCTGGGATTACAGGCATGAGCCACTGTGCCAATGGGCTCCCTGGCTCTTTTAAACTTTATTTTGAGACAGGGTCTTGATAAGTTCCCCAAGCTGGTCTTGAATTTGTGATGCTTCTGCCTCAGCCTCCTCAGAAAAACTGGTAGCATGTGCCACTCACTGTGCCTGGCTTTTTTTCATTCTTTTTTATTTATTTTTTACTTATATAAAATATTTACGTGGTTCCAAAGTTAAAATGACAAAAAAGGATTCCCAGCACGGGAGACTCTTCCCTGTACGGAGTGCTGGGGCTATGTGTGGAACAAGATTAGCTAGAGAGCCTACAGTTCTGGGAGATGTTAGTGTTCTAACCTAACTGAACACTCTCAGGCATTTGGTTGAGACTACAGGGCCATGCTGTGCTCTGAGTTTCTCCATGATGGACTGTTAGAGTCTGTAAACAAGTCAGGATGGCGCCTGGCAAATGTTAGAGTCTGTAAACAAGTCTGGATGGCGCCTAGCATTTTGCCAGAGGGAGTGGTTTGTGAAGTAACGCCAGCGAGCCATTAAGTGTGGAAATTCCTTATTGGTTGACTGATGTATCTAGTTTATGTTAATTAGATAAGCTGTGTGGAATGTATAAATACCCCTCCTGTCCTACAATAAACGGCTCCTACTCCTGCTGTATCAATCTACACAAGTTGTTCGTGTCTCCCCCCCGGGTTATTTTGCCCAGCCAGCCGGGCTGCGGCAATGGACAGAACAGCAGTCCTGCCACCCCACTGTGTAAAGCAGTTTGCCGTAAGTTGCTCCATTTTGAGTTTAAGTGCTGAAGTGGAATGACTCCATGCCTTGTTGGTACAAGTAAACCACCACCTGCCAGGCACAACCATAAAGCACAAA